CAAGCATCAGAAACATCCAGCAGGTTCAAAATAAGAGAAACTTTTTTTTTAATTGCTGAGATGGAAAAACACATGCCGTTTCCACACTTCAATCGCCCAAGTGTCCTGTATCATTTAAGTCATTTTATGCCAGGCCTATACTAACTGAACTATAACAAAACATTTACATAACCAAACAAATAACAAGGAAACTTGAGCAAGACTTTCAGAAGCGATTAATCCTAACTGACAGGTTCAAAAACATACACACACACGCACACCTGACTTATTCTACTTGAGGTGAATAAACACTAAATTCACGGTATGACAGATATAAAGCTCGTGTGACGAAAAAAAAAGAAAGATTCTACAACAGGGTCCAATTAATCTGTAGCAACCTCGTTGTCCACTCTGTCTGCACTTTGTAACTCTACCTCCAGAGTCAATGGGCTTTGCTTTTCACTTCAGTAACTCTTGCAACAAAAAGACTTTAATGCCAAGACCCCCCTGTGTTAGTAATGAAAACCTCCTTATAGGCCAGYGAGTCTTTATCTCCCTCAGCACACAGTGTTTCCTTTTTCTATTTTTTTCTTCGTTTAAAGGACTTCTTAAAAAAATTCAGCTTTTTTCAATGTCTTTTTTTGTCCAAGGACTATTATTAAAATAATATTTTGAATTTCCCCCTTTAATATTGCACAATTGAAGAGGGACCACCTACCCCATCTCTCCCGAAACCAGTGCCCCAGGACGAGGGTCAGGGGAGAGGGACAGCTGGCAGACCTCCCAGCAGCCTGGAGGAGGTGCGGGGTTGCCGGACTGGACTGACCCCCAAGTCAGATGGTGGTCTGGCTCCCAGGTAAAAAAAAAACAAAAAAACATCTGGTCCAGAGATGGGAAAGGGGTGGTCGCACAGGCGCTCGCACATTCAGAAGCGGCACACGCTTGACTGCACGAGCTCTCCCTGCCTTCTCTAATGAACTCCCTCTCGCACACAAGGCTACACACACACTCCAAGACACGCCGCTTTATTAGTCATTAGGATGAAAAGGTTTGCCCTCAATCAGTCTCTTCTGCACGGGATGGTAAATGGCCGCCCTAGTTGCTAACAGCTGGCCGGACAGAACCTTGCCTGGTAGGTGAGGTTTACAGGCGCTGCAGATGGAGTGAGGTCCAATTACGTCTTTACCAGCAGAATTAGTCAAGAACTGAATGTACGAATTAAACAAAAAAAAAAAAAAAGCTGTGATTTATGTGGTAATATGCAACAACATTAAAAGGGCAAAGCTGTAATAACCACTAATCAGGACTGTGGAAAATACCTAGAAAAGTTCATTTTAAAGAAAATTTCTGATGGTTAAAAAAATATTGTTGGAACTAAAGAAGAATATTTTTTTTTTCTTTTTGTTGTGATTTGCCGCTGAAAGCTCAGAAAAAAAGAAACATGGTCAGTGAGGATTTTGTTGCGATGTGTGTGGCTTTACTGTTCTCAGGATGAGATAAGGAGAGCAGAGATATCCAGAGAGACAGCTGCTGTCTGCTGACAGCACAGGGTTTATTACACACTCACAGACCTAAGTACACCAGCACGGGGCCTCCCCAAGAGCTCTCTGGGGACTTTGGGAAATTAAAAAAAAAGGGGGTGAAAAGGATAGAAGGAGGCAGAAGATACTCAGAGGAAAGTTTGATCACTTTTGAGCATCAAATTATCTACCAATTTTGACTTTTTGCTACATAATATTAAAGAAAAATATTGTTTTGTACAAATCACTGCACTGACTGGCAGGGCAATAAATCAAATCTGGTACTACCGGACTAATAACTCAACTGCCCAGAACTCTTTCAAACGTATGTCAAAAAAACATTTATTTTACCATTATTTAACCAGGCGGAGATCACAGATCTCTTTTTAGAGGGTGGCTTGGGCCTAAAAGCAACCTATTGTACATATTTTGGGGAGTGGGGGGAAAACCCGGAGAAAACACAAGCACGAGGAGAACATGCAGACTCCACACAGAAAGAYGCCAGGTCCAAACTGGGGATCGAACGCAGGACCTTCTTGCTGTGAGTTGTCCATGCTAACCACTGAGCCGTCGTGCTGCCACYTTAGTGGAGAACATGTCTTTAAATTTAACACATAAGGTGGAAGCACAGTGGTGTAGTGGTTGAGACGGTCTCTAGTTCCTCTTCCAATCAGGGGCCTTTCTAGGTGGGGTTTGCATGCTCTCTCTTTGCATGTGTGGGTTTTTTATGTGCTCCTGTTTCCTCACACAGACCACAAACACACACGTAGCTCTAAATTGTCCCTATAGGTGTGAGTGTGTGTCTGTGTCCCTGCGATGGATGTGCGATCTGTCCTGGGGGTACCCTGCCTCTCGCAGRGTGACAGCTTGAAATACGCAGAGTCAGCTGTCGCATAAAGAGCTTACTTGGATTTTATCTTGACATTAACCCTTTAATTATTTTTGGCTCTATGTTGTTCAATAATAATAACCCTCCTGAGTTTTTCTTCGTTTATGTTTATACTTTTGTTAATTTTGTGACGAGCAGAAAGTATAGAAACACTAGTACACATTTTAGTAAGTAGAAGTAAGAGAAGTTAGCTTGTAGCATAATGAGCAAATAAAATGAAATTGGCAAAGAAGAAAAAAACGTAAAAAAAAGCTAATAAAAACGCAATCTGACAAAATTTCACTTCGGCAAACAATGTTGTTGAAAAGATTTCGGTCTGTTTAAGTTCATGCTTGGAAAAGCCTTGTCTCATCATTCGTCCGCAGCTCTGTCCATTGTCAAAAACCAGAAAAACGAGTTGTCACCTCTTATTCATTGTGTACAAAGTGCTGGAATACAGACAAGTAAGTATGTCGTCTACGAAAGAAGCAAAACAAGCAGATCATCTTTACCACGTCTACCTTCAGACAAACTGACTTTGGACACGATGTTCACCAAAACAAAAACAAAACAAGAAAAAAAAGTTGCCACTCAAGTGTCAACTGAAAACTAATTGAAAGCGTGACACTTCCTTTACATTATAAATTAAATCCTGTCACTCAAGTTTAGCATTAAATACTTTTCTGATCGTTCTTTTCGACCTGAAAGTTTTTGCTGAAACCTTCAATTCGAGTTCAGTGCAGACGTTTGACTCCCAGAGAAACGTGGGGCAGGAGGACGAGAAGGGCGCACAGAAGCTTCGAGACGTCAAGAACCGAGCAGCTGTGAAGGAAAATATAATAAAATCGGTGCAGATAAAGTCAGGAAGAGCAGAACTTCCTATGAAAATATTTATCATTCCAGAAACTTTTGGCCAAAGAGAGGTTTGGAATTAATTTGTGTTTTCTTAAGAGGGGGGTGCCTTGCGTTGCAGGATGGGGAATTCTCCACAACCCGGGACAACGTTTTGGGCTCGCTGCTTATTCACAATTTATTAGAGCTGGTAATAGGAACCATGAAGGCTGAGGGGAGAGAGGGCGATCGAGCGAGAGGGTCTCGGGTCAGCCGTAGAGAGAGAGAGAGAGAGAGAGAGAGAGGGGCAACCCAGAAGTGGGGCCTGGTGTTATTAGGAGACGAACCACAGTGTTAAATCACACACACTCCAGCACACACCTTCGGTATGCGGTCTGAACGCACCTCTCGCCCGCCACAGCCAGAACCCTGAATGTTATTTTGCGAGAGTCGAAATATTTGAGATTTAGTAGGCTTTACAGCCCACTGAGAATTGAAACGTGATAGCTCAATTCTCAAATAAATCGTCTTTGGTTGGCTGCAAGACTGAAGACATATTTCAGATAATTGACTCTGAAAATAAGAGACATGTGTCCGATTGGTTTGACAATAAATAGAAACGAGGATTATATTGTTTTCAGATTTTGAAATAGTGTATAAATTTACACATTTCCTTGCAAATGAAAAGTTTGCATGAAAAAAGTTCTGAAGACAGATATGAAAATAAAAAAAATCATATAGGCAACAACCTAAAATACAGTTTTCATGAATAGAGTGCCATTTAAATCCATGTACTGCTTATCATTCACTTAAAACATCCAGGGAGAACAGACTAAATAGGAAATAAACGGCGAGCTAAAAAAAAAAAAAGGACAGAGAGCGACTTTCTGGTCCGAAGCCATGAAGGGGTCCTTGAAAAAATATGAATACCAGCTTTGAAAAATGCTTAGCGTGGCTTCCCCCCGTAATTTTCTTTTAATGACGGTCCCTGCRTGCAGCTGGAGGGTTTGTCTGTGATTTGGGTGCAATCTTCTGCAGTTAGGCCTGAGCAGAAAGCACTGCACTGATTCAAGCAACACCAAGAAAAACAAAGGAGCTCAATTAAAAGGGAAGGTCCTGCATGCTCTTACCCCAGACCTTTAAACAGCACACTGTGGGACAAATTACTCTTATAAAGGACTTTAATGTGTACTAAAATATGAACTAACCTTCCCTGGCAGTGTATATAAAGCTAAACACTAATTTATTATTACTGAAGGCCATTATTGAAGACAAATGTGTTCATTAAATAAGGAACAAAGACCTATCTAATATTCAGTGTGAGTTGTGTCTCAGGGTTGGTTAAAAATTTAATGTTTATTTCCATGATTGTTATTGTTTTGTTTTGTTTGTTTACTCAAACCTCACACATCACACAAATAAGTCAACCATCTCCTAATAAGTCCTTTGWTATATATAAAAAATGTGAAAACATAAAAATATATTTTTGCTTGCTGTTATTATTTTAGTGTAGCCTTTTGTCTTACAAGAAATAAAAACTATTTTTTAATTAGAATAATAATAATTAAATTAATAATTAAAGCACAATATGACGTTAAAATGTGGACTCTCGTATGCACCTAAAAACATTTAAAACATTCTTAAGATTTTATTTTTTTAGGCTTTCTTACCAATTCCTTTTCTGTTTACGGGTCTGAGTTCAAAACAAAGAAACTCAAAGACAAGTTTTATAAGTAGACGCAAAAATAAAACAAACAGCTGAGGATAAAATTGACCTTAAAATGAAAATATKTCCCACCTACCATTATTTAGAATGAAGCAAACAAGTCCGGGTGTCACAGCGGTGGTTGGCTCTCCATGCCCGGAGGAGCCTCCGCAGATTTCTCCCAAATATCTGCGGAAATCAGCGCTCGACTCGTGTTCTGAGGCRGAAACCAGGAGCCTCTGTGAGCCCGGTCGGCTTCGGCAGGTTCGGCTCTCTGCGGACACGCACACCGATGYGTCCTCTGCTCCCCCGGCTGCTTCGGGAGGACTGTTTGCTTTACCGGCGGCGGGGAAGTGATGTTAAATAAATGAGCGAAGATTTCTTGGTTCCACCTCCTCCWGTTTCTCTTGAAGAGGCGCGCGCTGCACAACGCACAACCTGGGCGTGTGTTCATGTGTGGGTGTGCGCGTGCCACCAACTTTTTTTTTTTTTTTTTTTTAAATCTCCACAGTGCTTCACTTCTCGGCTTTTCCTCTCTCTATTATCTGTCCTTTAAATGTTTGTTGGGTCAGGAGCTCTTCACCTTGCTGTGTTTACTCTCTGAGCGCCTCGCGGAAGAAGATTTGGCAGATTGCGGTAAATAACTCCGAGTTGTTSACAGGTTTATCAGGAGTTTATCTTTGCTGTTTAAGTGTGGGTGTATTCCCCCCCCCACCCACCACCTTTATTCCAGAGGTTCTCAAACWAGGGTCCCTGGACCCCCAGGGGTCCGCAAGAGGTATCTTGGRGGTCCTCAAAWTTTTTTTTACTAAAATGTTAATTTAGTTATTTTTAAAAAATTGCATGGACATGAACTAATAAAACAAACATAATCTTAAAATACATATTCCCATGGCATTTGGGTGTTGAAATGACAATAAATTATCTTTTAAAACAGAATGGGGTTTATGAGGGGGTCCCTATATATATA